CAAATGACCATTGAAAAAGAGGGAAAATGATGGTAAAAATCCATTGTGAAGCAGTGGATTTAGGGGTACTATGGTAACCATGGTACTTTATCCCCAGACAAACCCTCCTGGCTGGCCTGAACAAAGATTGACAAAGATTCAAAGCTCAGTTCTCCAAATTCCTCTGGCAAGGTTGTTCTATATATGTTTTTTCTGCCACGGTGCTGTCTCATCCTCATTGGCAAATTCATTGTTTGCGCTCTTGGTGTTTCCATGGCCTTGGAGCGTCTGACTTGAACCCTGGTTTATCTGGTTTGTAGGGAGAAACATGACAGTGTTCTGGATTGATTGCCTTTTGAACATGTCGCAAATTCTGAAGCTCCATGCATTGGTGTGAAAATGTTGATGACTAACTAGGATGTGAAAGTGCCAAGGTTGTCTTCAACAAAATAAGCAAAGTGTCTGAAGTGGGATTGAAGCGACTCTACCTGCAGCCAGATCAGTCGCCCGATCTTCCTGGCCGCATGAAAATCAAAACATGAACATATTTGCACATGTCTACCTCGGAGCCTGGGAGTAACGGAGTCAATCAATGAAAGTTTTGACTCAAAGTTCATTTTGTTGTAGTTTACATGTTCATGCTTTGCATACTGTTCACGGTTTCACCAGCTTCAGCGAGTAAAATTGCATCCGCCTGACTTTCAGCAGCAGAATTTCCAAAGGTGTTAGCGCATGCTTCGACACGGCTCTGGAGATCAAAAGTGAGAAAGTCACCATCCTTAGTGACTTAGTGTGACTGAGGTGTGCGGTCCTTTCTCTCATGTGAAGCTGTTCGGATGGGTCAAAGGCAAAAGCTTGTAGTACTTCCAAAGCTTCCAACACCATGCTTTCAAGATCAATGCTATGCATGGGGAATGCAAAGTGCATCGTGTTGAAGATGAAAAGGGCTGAAAAGATTTGAAAAGTGCTTTGTAGGATGCTTCATGAATCAATATCCCTAGAAACCACTTGCATGGTCAACACAGGACTGCCAAGCTTTCATATACTTTCATGGTATAAGGTGTTATAAGGACATGTAGTGTGGACTGGTTCGGGATTCTGACACTCAACAGCTGGTGCTGTTGGAGAAGTGAAAGGTCGTGGCTGATGGAGATGTAAAGGGATAGACCATGATGGACCAATGGATAAACCCGACTTTGAGAAAGGATGAGAAAGGAGTTTCACAAGTTGCTACTGAAACTTATCTGCTGAGTTATTTTCACTGGGTGTTGTTTCACCTTGCGTGTCCCCTGGACTCACAGCCAAGGGAAATTGTTGGCTCATCCTGCCGAAGCTCAAGAAGATTGTCAAAGTAATCACCTCATCTGCAGGCTGTGCCTCTCTGAAAGAATCAGCTGATCACATGAGCTTAGCGGCTTAGCCTGCAGCTTTTTTCCGTGGCCGCCCTCTACATTTTACAAGTTGAATGTGATCGAATGTGTCCAGAGTGTCATCCATGAGTTTGGAGTGCTCTTCTGCTTCAAGGGCACAATCATGTTCATGCCAGCTTCCAGGTGCACTTGATGGCTGAAATCGAAATGCACGATGGCATTCCCATATTGGATCCTGTGTCGAAGCTGCAACAGCCGCAATTTCTTCTGTTCTCTCCCTCTCTCTAGCTAGTTGCTCAAAAAAAGACATTCCACTGAGTCATATCACCATGTTTGAATTCTTGAAACAGATTACATTGGTGTAGTCCCGGTCCTCATGCTTCGATCTGCCAAAGCTGGACCACGCCGTTGCCAAAGAACCTGGCATATTCAAAGTAAACGAATATAAACGAATGCAAACGAAACTGCTGTGGGTTGATGCCATGCAATCAGCAGTTTGGCAGTTTGCCCTCGGGAAAGTCCAGAATTTGGTTTCAGAATAGTACCTTGCGCTTTGCAAGCAAGCTTTAGCAGAACAAATGCAACATCCCAAATGTGGAATAGGCAAAGTCATGTTGGTCATTGGGCAAACTGACTACACTGACAAAATATGAATGGAAAAATGAAACTAACATGTATTAACCAACATATAGCATGGATATTTACCAACATTAGCCATTGCGTTTGGGTCGCACCCTCCTAGGCTTCTGATCTGACCCCCCAATCGCCTGGGTGCCGTTCATGAAGGAGTATGGCTGGTATGAAGTTTTGGCATGGTAGAATGCCTTACCAAATCTGCAACGGACACTGCAAAGGTCAAGCCAATTGGATGGCATGATCATCCATTTTTTTTACAGGATGGTAAAAGGCGATCTCAATGGGATATTAATGAGATTTCAATATATATGGAGTCTGGAGAAAAACGTGAACCATTACTTTCATTTGCTCGCCTCTCTTGGGAACACCACTGGTTTTAGAATGTTTGCCAAGTACTGCTTTCTTTGAAAAATTAATTATAATTTATATTAATTTATGTGCAAAGCTGCTCTGATGCCGCTGTAGCCAAGTGTCTCGAAATTCAGACACCAAATCGTTCACAGCCACAGCATCGTCCCCATCCTGATTAAAACATAAAAAGGGATGTGAAGAGCTCTACATTAAGGTTCTGTCAGTCTGTTACTTTTCGCGAGCACGGGCATCTTTCACAGTGCAAAATGCTGAGATTTTAGATGATTTTAGATGATTTTAGACCATATGTGACTTGGATGTGACATGACTATACATGACTGACATATGACTGACATGACTTCATAACATCCACAGTTCCGCCTCCAGCGATCTTCTAAGGTGCTCGGTCCACATCTGAATGGAAAAGTCCTAAGGTTTCTCTAAAGAGAAACGAAACATACGAAACAATGCGGAAAATGGGTCGAAAACGAAACGCACCAGGAATCAAAAAAAAGTGCAACAACATGCAACAAGGGAAGTCTACCGGTGTCCTGCGCAGGCATTGACAGGGTCCCCGGTAAAGGAAGCACCTGGGCATGAAAAAATAAAGCTTCAAGTAAAGTGACAAGAGTAAAATTGGCTGATGTGCTCAAGTTCAAGAATGAATCTTTCAAGCTGTTGAGAATCTCAAAGCTTGCAATCTTGATGTTGTCTCAAAGCACGTCAGTACTTCTTGAGCTCAAACTGCTCAAGAACAGGAGTCAGAAGGAAAACATGTGGAGCTGTGGGCTGTCTGACATGGCTCCACCATGCTCCACCTATCCGCGCCTGGACTGAGAAAATGATGAGGCATGCCACCACGGAGGAAACCCTGGAGATAAGCCTCGAGCTGATGACCTCGCCGAAGCTCTGCCAATTTACTGCTTCTCTACTGACTCTACTGACTCTACTGCTTCTCTTGTGTTTTCTTGTGTTCTCTTGTGTTCTGCATAGATCTGCAGAGATCCTCAGCATCCGAATCAAGAATCATCAAGTGAGAAAGCCTCTGCTGATCTGGCCTGTCTACAGTAATCCAGTTGTCAGCCGCGCTCAATGGAACCCTTTGTGATTGGCTTGACATGATTTGACAACAGAAAAGGGTGTGAAATAGTTTTAGGAATTTTTTTTTGAGCAGGTTTGGGAATTGTTTTTGGATTTTTTGGCTGGTACCATTTGCCTAGTGTTTGCAACGGTTTGGAACTTGAATTTGTCATTTTGCATGGTATTTGCCACATTTGGGCATGTTCACCTTCCATTTTGCATGGGATTTACTACATGTGGGCATGTTCCCCTTCCATTTTGTATGGTATTTGCCACATTTTGGCATGTTCACCTTCCATTTTGCATGGGATTTCCTACATGTGGGCATGTTCACCTTCCATTTTGTATGGAATTGCCACATTTTGGCATGTTCACCTTCCATTTTGCATGGGATGTTCTACATGTGAGCATGTTCACCCAAATATTTACAGACGCGGAAGCTTGGGATTAGATAAAAAGCGGGTGGGGGGGATTGAGGGAGGGCGCTAGCTATCTATCCAGCTAGCTAGCTATCTAGCTAGCTATCTAGCAAGCTAGCTATCTATCTAGCAAGCTATCTATCTATCTAGCTATCTATCTACCTATCTAGCTATCTTGCTAGCTATCTTTCTACCTATCTAGCTATCTAGCTAACTATCTAGCTATCTAGCTATCTAGCTTTCTATCTATCTAGCTATCTATCTATCTATCTAGCCATCCAGCTGTCTATCCAGCTATCTAGCTATCGAGCTATCTAGCTAACTATCTATCTATCTAGCTGGCTATCTATCTATCTAGCTATCTATCTACCAAGCTATCTATCTATCTAGCTATCTATCTAGCTATCTATCTAGCTATCTATCTAGCCATCTATCTATCGAGGTATCTAGCTAACTATCTCTCTAGCTATCTATCTATCTATCTAGCTGGCTATCTATCTATCTATCTATCTATCGATCTATCTATCTATCTATCTATCTCTCTATCTATCTATCTATCTATCTATCTATCTATCTATCTATCTCTCTCTCTCTATCTATCTATCTATCTATCTACCTGTCTATCCAGCTATCTAGCTATCGAGCTATCTAGCTAACTATCTATCTATCTAGCTATCTAGCTTTCTATCTATCTAGCTATCTATCTATCTAGCCATCCAGCTGTCTATCCAGCTATCTAGCTATCGAGCTATATATCTAGCTATCTATCTATCTATCTATCTAGCTATCTATCTAGCTACCTCTTTATCTATCTAGCTAGCTATCTATCTATCTATCTAGCTATCTATCTAGCTATCTATCTAGCCATCTATCTATCGAGGTATCTAGCTATCTATCATTCTAGCTATCTATCTATCTAGCTGGCTATCTATCTATCTAGCTATCTATCTACCAAGCTATCTATCTATCTAGCTATCTATCTAGCTATCTATCTAGCTATCTATCTAGCCATCTATCTATCGAGGTATCTAGCTAACTATCTCTCTAGCTATCTATCTATCTAGCTGGCTATCTATCTATCTATCGATCTATCTAGCTATCTATCTCTCTATCTATCTATCTATCTCTCTCTCTCTCTATCTATCTATCTACCTATCTATCTATCTATCTATCTATCTATCACATGTAATCCTGTCAGCTTTCCAGAGAAGGTTAGTTCGCAAAAACCAACTAGTGTAACTTGGGTTTAAGTTTAAATTAAAAAAAAAACGGGAGGGGGGGATTGGGGGGAGGGCGCAGCGCCTCCCCCCAAAGCAGAATGCAAGCACCTCTTCTCACATTTGCTAGTTTTCAAGAGAAGGTTGGTCATGTGATACTCAGGGATGTAAATACTGTGCAAAATGCATCTTACATGAAAATCAAGTATTTAAAGCAGGCAAAGCAAAAAAAAGCAGAGAAGCAAAAAAGCAGAGAAGCAAAGAAACAGGAAACGCACAAAAGCAAAGCAGCAGAAAGGCAAAGAAGCAGGAAAAGCAGAAAAGCAGAGAAGCAGGAAAAGCAGGAAAAGCAGAGAAGCAAAGAAACAGGAAAAACAGAAAAGCAAAAAAGCAGAAAAGCAGGGAAGCAGAGAAGCAGGAGAAGCAGAAAAGCAAAAAAGCAGAAAAGGCGAGAAGCAGGAGAAGCAGAAAAGCAAAAAAGCAGAAAAGCAGAGAAGCAGGAAAAGCAGGAAAAGCAGGAAAAGCAGGAAAAGCAGGAAAGCAGAGAAGCAGGAAAAGCAGGAAAAGCAGAGAAGCAGGAATCCAAAAATAATTCCTAAACCTGATCAAAAAAAAAATCCTAAAATAATTAGCCCTCCACAGAAAAGTAAAGGTCGAACGGTCGAACCCTTTGCAGACTCAAAAAACCCCGAAAACCAGGCCTTGGCCGTGCTCTCCTCAGCCTGGGCCATATCAATGCAGCTCATGCAAAGAGAGCGTGAGAGAGAGAGAGAGGGTGTCAAAAAAGTGAAGCATTTAGTGTTCCGCCAAAACAAGATTCTTACTTCATCTTTGCTGTACATGATTGGTTCTTGTTCTCTATCGGAGAAATGAAGGCCGGACATTCATGCATTTTCTTTGGCAAGGTCAAAGAGAATCTACTGAGAGCTATCCCAAATACCCATAGCTTGTGCGCAAAACGGGAATTCTCATTTGTAATATGGTCTCCATTTCAAGCAGCGGCTTGTGTTTGACTGTGGTTCTTCTGGTTAATTATGTTCATGCTGAAAAGAAATAAATGGATTTCAATGGGGATTCTCTTGCTGCGGCCATATGTAGCCATATGATGATTATGATGCCATATGTGGTCGCAAACAAGTGCTACCCCAAGCGAAATTAGTAAAGGCCAGGAAACGACTTGCTTGCGCTTCCGGAGGAACGGGAGGAATCTCATCCTTGGCTCTGTGGCCCGATCTACCAATGCACAGTAGCATGTTGATTCTGGAAATGACTCGTTCCTCAAAAACTTTTTGCTGTGAGTTGAACAACTAGCTGTTTCAATTCCCCAGCTGCAACACTGTGAAAAGATGTATATAGATTTATAGTGATTTACATAGATGCATATAGGTTTATTTACGCATCGGTTAATAAACGAACACATTCAATCTTTTATGCCAGCTCATGTCCAGTCGAATCAGTTTGGACGCTTCGAATGTGAAGGTTCGACAAGAACCGAAAGAATTGAAAACAAATTCCAGATCGATTTGGTTGACACACTTGCTCAAACTCGACTTGGATACTCACAGATCTCACAGCCAAAATTGACTAGTCTTTAAAAGTCCTCCTAAACGCACATGAAACAGATTGAAACAGGGCAAAGATGGGCAAAGGCAAAGGTATTCTCTGGCGATGCCGTGAGATTTTTCTGTCAGGCATCAGTTTCACCAGCCGTGTCAATCGCCCTGCGCGTGCACCAATTTTGGCAGCTCTTGTAGCACGCATCACCACGGAGTTCTGAGTCAAGTTATTCCTGAGCGGTGTGCAAAATCTTGAGACCCTACGGCCCTATGACCCTATTAGTCTATCTGAGCTCCGAGTGAGGCTTCGTGAAAGAGAGAAGAGTGTACATGCATGGCTTCTCTGCGAAGGAACCAAACAATTGCACCTCCCAGATCTTCCCGTGCTTCACATTCATCTACTACATTCGGGTCCTGTATGAAACACACTTCGGCGAAACAAACTAACATGATCAGCAGAAAGTATCGAGTCAATCACTGCTTTCCAGGTAAACTGCAAGATGCACAATAGAGCAGAAGGAGAATCACAGATTGGCTCCAACAGGCGGAAGCCGCCAGGCAAAGCTTCCCAAAGCCGCAGCTCACTCTACTCTTTCTGATGTTGATTCATGTTGATTTAGCTATTAAAATAATTGAACCCAATGCAGAAAAAAAAATGTAGCTCAAGGTTTGAGATCCCTGAGCCAAGTATCGCTTGCATCTGTGTCTTCACAGCCGAGAATTCCACAAGCAGAGACAATGTACCAATCACGTCCATGATGAAGAAAAAGGAGCAACTCAAAGGCCGCCATCATGTCCCACAATCGTAGTCTTACTCACATTTCATTTGCAAAAGTCTAAAGCGTTGAGGATGACCAAAATCATTTCTTTGACTTCAGCAGTAAAATGTTTGACTGTTTTTTTCTGCAGTGCTTTGCATCAATCAAGGCATTCAGGACTCCCGAGTAAAAATTAGAGAATGACAGAGTGACAACAAACAAAATGAATGAAAATGACGGAAAAATCACGATGCGGATTCCTGGAAAAAGGCCGGCGACAAGCTCAAAGGTCCAAGTTGCATGTAAGCCTTTCCAAACCCGATCACCTGCAGGGTGAAGAAATCCACGATTCCGCATGGACATCAAACACAGGATCAAACACAAAGGCACTAAGACGAGTCTTGTAGACTTGGTGTTTTCGGTCAAACTTCAGGCCCAAAGGCAGCTAGAAACTTTCGTTGGTCCCACCTGAATGGCGCAGTCTGTTGAGAAGAATATGAAAATGAGCGTGAGGAGGACATCCTGAGATCACAGGAGCCGCTACATCAGGTCTCTGGGAACCGGCTTGGAGCCATGGTCAATACTCACTATATGGTTGATGGTCATCCCATCCATAATAAGGATCCTTATAATGGTTATTATATGTTATTATAAATCCCTATGAACCATTGGATGACTAGCCCTTATTAACCATGAGTATTGACCATAGCTCATATAATATTACGATTGTAAAACAGTCCCAGCTGTGCTTCCAAATTACCAGATTGCAGGTGTGTACCCCTGATGGCCCTGTGAGGCCTCGCCTAAAAGCTTAGGACATGGTAATATGGTCCGGAGCCAAAAAAAAGTAGCTGCTTCTTTATACGTAGAGGATCATCAACTGGTGGATTCATGTCCAAGCTTGCTGATTCACAAGAGGTTTCAGCCGCTTTGGAGTTGGAGCTTGCAAAGAATGTGGCAAGGAAACATTCGCACTAGACCTCAGAACTATGGATCTAAGGGTCTAAGCTCAAGTAGTCGGAATCTGTGATCACGTAGATGTCTGGCAGATACAGAGCCATGAACAAAACCACGAAGGTAGCACACCTCATCGAGTGTCTCCCGCAATGCCGCAGGGGTGCAGCCATTTTACTGAGAGCTCAACAAAACAGTGGAGTCCTCTTACTTCGAAACGATGCAATGCTACAATATACTACACCCGTGAAAGGCATCTAGATGTTGTCTTGCCACACTGCCACATCTTGGTGGGATCCCTTCGAATTCCTTCAGGCACTTGCACATGCGTGTAGCTCCCCAATCTTCTGTAATCCCTGCTTGTGCCAGTCTCTAGGTGATGACTGACAACTCTTCTAAAGTGCTGCTGTCAAGTCACTGGAAAGTGTTGCTTTCAAACCAAACACGGCACTTCGCTGAGACCACTGAGATCATCTCCAAGATTATATGGCCTCAATTCCACTCAGAAATGCCACATTTATCAAAGAGGGTACAAGAATCTGTGTTTTCACATTTCCCAACAACAGCTGGATTACCCAAGCTGACTGGATTGTGGCGGGGTGGAAACAAAATGAAAACACCCATAGACCTTCTGCCAGCACAACCACATTGTAGCAGCTCCCATTGAATCAGATGCGCAGACCAACAGACACTTGAAGGCAATAAGGATGCCTTTTTCATACTTTTTCTCAGTTTTGTGTCCCAAAGCACGTTTTCCGTTCTGTTCCACTTTGCACAACACTCCGTTCACTGACTGCTCTCGTGCAAGGAACGCCTCTCCTGGGAGTCTTCTGAGCTGTCCTGGTGCAAAAGACCCAAGCAAAGCATCGAAATTGACAAAAATGCAAAAAAATGATCAGAAATGTAGAAATGTACTGTAGAAAGCCCTAGGGCCATGCAATGCAACTTTGTTGATGGTCATCCTGAGCAGGTAAATTTGAGCTGCATGCGAAGAGGACCTGTATCTAATTACTGTATTTCAGGATCACTTCTCAGCAGGTTCACATGCTGATGCAAACCTTTCAAATCTCGAAATAAGAAGTAAGTTGTGGATCACTGCCACGTCTTAGATACTTGGAGCATTCGCTTACAGGCAATCTGAAAACTCACACTCCATGCCGTGCAGCGTGCCTCCCCGCTATAGCCCTTAGGGCTTCTGCTGCGTGCGAATGATAAGCTTCGACTGCTGGGCGATCGTGGCTCTTTGAACCTCGAAGTGTGCACTCTGATGTCTGGCCAAAAATTGACAGGACGTGCCTTGCAGAAACAAGCCTCCGTTGGCTCAACAACAGCCCACGTCCATTAAACGACAGCTACCATTCACTGTATATATAATATAATATAATATATATTTATATACATTAGATGTGAGATGTAAAGCATAGATGTTAAACACTTTCAATCACTCCCGGTTCACATCCGCATATCCTTTTTCCATTTCCTGTCACTTCGTATGGTCTCAACCTGCCTCCAGCAGGATTAATGCTTTGGGTAACTGTGTAGGTATCCTCCTGCACAGCAGCACTGGTTAGATCCATACTCCCTGTTCCGCACTCCTGTCAACCCAGGAGGCTACACAGGGTGAATCTCTCCCACCCAGTGCTACGTCGTGTAAGTACACGTAGAGATCAACATCCTCAATGATGTGATCCCCTACAAGAGAGGATACTCCACAGGAGTCCTATCTCATAGGGAGGGAAGGGAGGGAAAAGAAAGAATGATGAAGCCAGTTTGGCTCAGACTTGAGCCAAAATGGATTCATCAACTTACACACTCACCCTAATGATAATGCACACCCAGTGCCTGCCGAACACGATGCATACATACATTAGATGTGAGATGTAAAGCATAGATGTTAAACACTTTCAATCACTCCCGGTTCACATCCGCATATCCTTTTTCCATTTCCTGTCACTTCGTATGGTCTCAACCTGCCTCCAGCAGGATTAATGCTTTGGGTAACTGTGTAGGTATCCTCCTGCACAGCAGCACTGGTTAGATCCATACTCCCTGTTCCGCACTCCTGTCAACCCAGGAGGCTACACAGGGTGAATCTCTCCCAATGCACTTCACTTCCTTCCCAAAGCACTTAGAGAAACTCCACGACCTGGAGAAACGCAGGAAGTGGTAGAGACCAAACCTCGAAGGGGAAAACTGCGAAATGCGTGGTGAACCCATGGCTCTTATGCCATGTGGCCTGGAGGCCCTCTCGACTGATCTCGTCGGACCAGTTGGCCTTGCTAGGGATCCACTCCCAGAAAAACCAGGCTTTGAGTGCAAAAAGAGTGACATGAATCAGGCGAGACATATGTTCTAAATCTGCATTGTCTGAACGACCTCTAATCAGAGCCATCAGCGCCGCTGTGTTGTCAATGAACCAGAGTCCTCTACGGCCACGAAACGTCGATGGACGAACAACGCGTAGAGGACCTGAAGCAGCTCCAGTTGGGCAATCTTTGTGTCTCCCGGCTCCCAGAGGTGGTACACCACGGGGGGGATGATCGAGACAAATGCTTCCCGTTGCTGGACGCAGCCATCATGCCAGACTATCAAAAAGCCTCCTGTCCCTTGGCTTGGGATTTCCAAAGCTGCATCTGAGGCTGCCAGAAAGCGTTGCCCTGCGTGTGGCCAGATCTCAATCGTCCTGGAGGGTTTGGTAGCAATGACAGCGCGCAGCAAGTCGAAGCATCGACGCAACTCCTCAGTCAACTCTGAGGTGCGTTCCTGTTGCCGGCGCTTGATTGGGGCTAAACCTCCGCAACCAATGCGCCCCCATACTCCCAGTTCGAAGAAATTGGCAATGCCATAGATCTTGGCAGCTACTCCTGGTTGAAGCTTGCTGGAATCCTCAGCATGCTTCATGAGATGGAGTAGCTTCTGTTCGATGCGTTCACGTGCCCAAAACTGGATGGTGCCTCGTGTGTGAATTTGACTGAAATCATGATCAAGTCCCAAGAAAGTACCTGAATGTTGCATCCTCTGGCACTTCTCTGCTGAGAAGGGTGTGCCTAGAAGGGTATTGAGAAACTGCATCGCTCGTTGACCTGATCCTTTGCAAGACTTCCTGTCCGTCACATGAGCATCATCAAAATACAAACTGGTCAAGCAGAATGTGAATCGGCGTGACAGAGCTTCCACCAACCTGCTGTAACGATTGAAGGACGTGACTGCCAAGGGAAGACCAAAAAGCAATCCAGTATAAATCATAAAAGCTGGCTTCTGCCATTCGTGGTGGAAAAAGGCCACAATACAACACAAAGCTTCGTCATGGCTCATGGGACAAAATCTGTAAGCACCTGGCCAGTCTTCACCACCAGACTCCCATTCTTCTGTGTCCCAGATGGGGAGTGCTCCATATGCGTAGGCATATTGTAGGTGCTGAGCTGGACGAAGGGCTGAGCAAAGGGTAAGTTTGTTGGCGTCGCTGGAACGCTCAGACTGCAAGCCGACATAGGCATCATCAATCACCCTTTGCTTCCCCGAAGATTGTGTGATCACACATCTGGGAATCAATCGATAAGGCTCTGCACCAAGCAAACCATGCAGTTCCTCTGCATCCATCGGCAAGCTGCAGAAGCCTTTCTCAGCATCTTTGAGGCTCTGCTGCAACATGAATTCATCATCAGCGCCAGGCCTCAGACGAGTCAGGATCCACCTGTTGTGGGTCCTCCAATCACGAAGGACGTCTTCCCGTGTCAATCGGGATGCCTCCTGCTCTGGGAATATGCCGTAGGGGGGTGCATATCCCACTGCGGGCAGCCCCATGCAAAGGCCAGCCGGCAGCGTCACATCGCCCCAGTTGGCTAACAACAACAGGATGGCTGTGAAGCCAACGTCTCTCTGTGCTGTTGCCGTCCGAATCGCCTCGGTCTGTTTGGTTCTCAAATGCTCTGTAATCTTGCTCCATCGCCGTTTCATCTCGGCTAACAGGCCCATTGCACGTTTCCTCAGCTTGCTCAGGTCAACTCCTGGCAGGCTTGAGAAGGAAGCCGCAAAGCGAAGATCATCATCCAATATCGGAAGCCCCTCTGTAGGCAAAGGTTGCACGCTCAGTTGCAAGGCACGCTCAAAATGCTGGTCTGGCTGGAGATGGAACGGCAGCAATGGGGCCAGCGCTGCCCTGTGGTTGATGGCCCCCACTTGCTGACCCTCAGCCGTCCGCATCTTCTGTCGCACGGAAGGGGCTGCTAGAACTGGATTCCAGCTACCTTCCATGTCGAGCCCTTGTTGGTGTCTCCATCGAATGTACAAATCAAGCGGGTGCTGGTTCACCAAGTCTTCAACAAATGGGATGGAAAGACCCTCAAACCAATCACCTGGGTAGAGCTTCTTGAATGCCAGCGCCAACGATTCCTGGAGGATGTAGAATGGCCCAAACGGAATGCCTGTCGCTTTGGCTATGCTCGACAAGAGGACACTACGCGTGACTGCTGTGTGGCTCCTGCCATGCGATCCTTGCTCGATGGCTATTCAAACTGAGCCGATCAAACACGAGCCCCGCCAAGAGGTTCTGACAACTGAAAACGGGCCTGTAACTCAGCCTTGGTCAAGGGGGCTGCCCAGATGACGCGGGACTCCTGCTTCAGGACCTTGTCGACCTGTTGGCGCGCATAGTCAAGGGCCTCAGCAAAGGTCTGTTCTGGAATCGTCTCCCAAGACTCATATGCCAACAACTTCTCCATGGCCAACCTGATGATGTGCTTGGTCCGCAGCGAGTGTTCATACCTTGCTGCACTGTAGTGCATAGGCATCGTCGCTTCCTTGGGGATCTGGCTTCGATCGGCCCAATCACCCAGCGAACACAACTCCAGGGGCGTCAGCTTCATCAGTGTTCCCAGTGTTGGTCCAGCTCGCCTCCAAGAGTAAGATGACAGGTCTTCTGTGTTCTGGACCAAGTGCTCAAAGACCTCACGGTTCAAGTCGTTGACATACTTTAAGGTAAATGCGGTACCCTCCGCATCAAAACAGAGACCTGAAGTGGCCTGCTTGGTCTTGTCCAGATTGCTATAGTCCCGAAACAGGGCGGCTCCCCAAGCCCATCCATTCACGAATGTTGCGGGGATGCAGAAGGAAAAACCACCCCGATTGGCCCGCTGCTTGCCCTTCGGGCAAAACCCGTGGAACGAGGATGGTGTCACCTTCACTGGCCTGGCTCTCATGATGTGCTTGTAACGCCAGACACCAAAAGTTACCAGCCATGATGAAAGTAATCCTCTCCAACGCGGGTCCTCTGCCTCATACATAGCTTGTATGCGTTCTTCCAGGGCAGCAATCATCGGCGGTTCAACTGCAACTGCCTGCTCGGGATTCGCCTTTTTGGGTGGATTCTTCCTTGAGGGCACTGGCACATCACTGAAGTCCCACTGTAAGCGACCATGTTTCGAAAACCATTTCAGGGAGTGATATGCCCTGTAGGGTCCATTTGTGCCGTTCTGCGGAAAACCATAAAGATCCAAAGTGTCAGGCGGAAACAACCGATCCTTCTGTTCCATGTATGCCCTCAATTCTGCCCAGGACTTGAGAGCGTTCACAACTGTGGCGCCCTCAGCCTCCGTGACCTTCCTCTTGGCCAGGGTATCCAAGGCGTCCTGCCATTGTGAATACCTCTCAGGGGTCAACTCCCCTTGAGGGCGCATCACTTTGGCCTGGGAGAATGCCTTCCGCAAAGCTTCAGCTCTCAGCAGCACTTGTTCTGGTTGATCAGGACCTGGACGGATGCGAAGTGCCTGGACCATCTTGCTCTTCTTCAACATCGAAGCCTTAGGTGCAGGCCGCCTATCCCGAGATCCAGAGCTCTCCGCCACTGCTGCAGCCTGCGGAATGAGGTCATCTTCGATGATGTTGGAACGTGCCTGAAGCCACGCATCGGCGACATGGTGTCCTCCATGTGCCACTGCGCTGTCATATGATGCGAAGGCATAGGCGAAGTCCGTGTTGTCATGCAATCCCCATTGAGATCGCCACTGCTCCACCCTCGTCGAAGCCACCCGTTCCATTGCAGTCTCAGCACAAGGCGGCGCATCACCTGCAGCTTGAACTGCATAAGCACCTGGGTGGTATGCCATGGCGACCCCCGACACCACCGCTGCCAATGTTTGGAGCGTTCGTGCTGGGCCTGAAACTGCAGAATATACCTCAGTGTCATCAGGTACGAAACATGCATCACTAGGCCGCAGCTGCTGCAGTTGGGTCTCTATGCAAGCTGGGGTGACAGCCCGGACATTGGGAGGGTGGACAGGTACTGCACACGGAGGAGAAACATCGCTCACAAAGTTCTGGGGTCGGTATGCCACAGGCCCGACAAGGAGGCAAGGGTTCCTCCCCAGCCTCCATGGCACCGAGCCATCCCCAGAGCGACCGGACTGCTCTGGCCCGTGGTGCCCTCCACGCAACCAGGTCAGCCGGGATGGGCACCATGGCTGGGTCCCTCCATCCTCGGCGTGGGGACTGCCACGTCCTCCAGACATTCCACAGCTCGGCAAGGTCGACCATGCTCTCGGCATTGTGCTCGATGAAGGCCACCAAGCCGAAGATGTTGTCCGGCGCAAAGTCCCTAGCTGTCCAATGGGTCCGCAGCGGTTCAATGAGCAGCAAATCCAGCTTCGCCTCGCCCAGGCGATCATAGTAGGACTGCCACGCCAGCCGCGGGTCACTCCCGGGCAGAGCCAAGACAGCTGAGCTGTTCCACGTACCAAGCCAGGGGAACTTGAATCCTCCCAAAAATTCGGTGCACCTCCTACAGTTTTCCTCCATACAGGGTGACCGTCTGAAAGGGGGAAGTCCCTCCACCCCCAAACCGATTGGATGAGGGGGGAAATGGTCGATCTGACACACTGAGGACCATAACCTGGTGGCTTGCGAAACAAGGCCCCGCTGAAGCAGGCCTTCCACGTGTGTCTTGAACTCGTAGTAGGCCGTCGCATGAAGGATCTCGGCATCGGTGTGGGCAGCCTCATTCCAGCCAGGCCGGACGACAACGTTGGCCCTTGGCATCAGGGGGGTATCTCCCACCTCCGTAACCTCTGTACTCTAGGGTGACGCCCTAGTAGAGGAACGAACAACCACTTTCCCTAGGGTCACTCCCTAGTAGTGGTGTGGGTACCCCAAACAAAAGAAAGAATGATGAAGCCAGTTTGGCTCAGACTTGAGCCAAAATGGATTCATCAACTTACACACTCACCCTAATGATAATGCACACCCAGTGCCTGCCAAACACAATGCATACATATAGAGAGAGAGAGAGAATTACAAAAATGTGATGAAGACCAAACAAGTTCCTTGGCATACAGGCAAGAAGTTGTGCTTTGATCCGGACCATGACCATGTCTTTTTTGCACATCTTTCTTGCTCTCTTCCATACTTTTCGGCTGTGTTTCATATCATAAAGGCACATTCATCACAGTTTGGCGGTTGGGCTGGTTTCAAGGTTGGTCATCTGCGGTCATCTATGGTCATCTATGGTCATCTATGGTCATCTATGGTCATCTATGGTCCACTGAGCTGCGGACAGAGACCTGATGGAAATCGCAGATGCTACACTTATTCTTCTAGGAATAATGTTGCCTCAGCACTTCGGACAATGACTAAGTCACTATACGTGACTCTGTCTTGAGTCTTTAGTCGTTGCACTGCTGCGAAAGGAACATAGGTAACAAGACATGTCTGCTCTCAAATGATGCCGCCTCCGATGGCTGAAGATTGATGTGATATCAATCTTGGACAAGGCACTTTCAGATACTCTACGAGTCTTGTGCACATTTTGCCTCCAGAGGTTAACACAGTGACCCCATGACTACACCGCCACCCACTTTCCAAGGCCAAATCTGGGAGCTAAATCCTTGAGAAATTCTGATGTTTAGATTTGATAATAACCAATATATATATATATATGTATATATATATGTATATCATAACTATATTTTATATACATATATATATATACAATTCTATTATATAATTATGTATATATATATGTCTGTACAGCAAAAAAATGCCATGTCAGATGTTGGAAGATCCAATCTCCAAATGACCTCCCGAACCATCCTGGTGCCTGAGCATCTCGACGATTTCCATAGGGCTACCAAGCTGAACCTCGCTCACTGTCCAGTTGGGTTAATGCGACTCCCAAATGAAAATCAAAGGAACAGGAGTATTAAGGACTTTAATTGTTTCATGGAAGCTCATTCGAGATTAAATTCCGATCACCTCACTGTTTACTGAGTTTACTGTTTACCTTTATTCCCCGTGCACCAAGAATCTAGTCGATTCTTTAACAAAGATATGCGCAACGGATTAAAGCCTAAGTCTTCAAGTTGCACACAGTCATGAGTCATATCAATAGCATTTTGACGCCTCAAAACACTGGGATTGCACGGCTGCAAACGCGAAGGAGGCTGCGCGGTGTTACAACTTTGTTGCTTGAGAATGGCTATGCTAACAAGATACCACCCAAGTGACATCTGATCACTAGATGACTTACTTTATTACCTGATTAGATTATATATTTACTTTACTACCTGATTTGTAGTTGGTATAGATAGAGAGGGAGACGTGCGCAGTGCCCGCATGTCATTGCGCAAGGCGTTGAATCATTCCATGTAATGCACTTCAATGAAGTGTGCAAACGTATGTGCATCCTCCAAGATATGTTCACCGGCTATGCCTTAGCAAGTTCAGGACTGTGTACTACTTTTCACTGCCTGCTGGTAATGGTTTGTAGTAAGAGTGTCTGTTCTAAGCCAATCAGATAGTGCGAGGCACAGCAGTGTCGATGGAACTTGCACCGCTGGTGTCCTGCAGAATTGGCCGGTGCTCATCTGAAATTGAAAGTGTTAGATATTACCTGGAAACGTGCAGAACTTCAAAAATTCCTCCAGTAGTACCGAAAATATGGAAGAAAAGAAACACAGTACGAGTGACCCAGTACAACATGAAGTCTAACCTGGGGTCCTAAGGGTCCTACAGTAACCTGACTTACCAACTCTGGAGCTGTGCAAGTCCTGCTTTGCTGGATCAGCATCGAAATGAAGCAGTGCACGGACCAGATCCAACGATCCTTGGATAAACTGCAAGAAACGATCGTCGTAGCAACCAGGAACGCTACAAGAGCCAAAATACCTTACCAATATGTCCATTACATGCAATTACCAATTGCAACCTGCAGAAAATTGAGTGAACTGAATTTTCCGCATCTGTAGAGAACTTGGATTCGTTTCAGATGTTCACATCTTTGGCTGCAAAGTGACCCACCCGAACGGCATCGTGAAGCCATATCGGGGCAGCACCACAAGCCATCATCACCAAAGCAGCAGAAACATTTTGCCTCAGACAGCTAAAACAGGATGGAAGTCACGAACCCGAATGTATTCACGTTCTTGGACTACCACACTCCACGCTTCACGCTACACACTCTACACTCCACACTTTACATTTTCCACTCTACACTTTATACTCCTCACTCGACACTCCACCACACTCTACACTTTACACACTCCACACTCCTCACTCTGCACTTTACACTCCACACTTTACACTCCACACTTTACACTCCTCACTCCACACTCCACACTCTACACTTTACACTCCACAGTCCGAATTCCACACTCCACACTTTACACTTTACACTCCTCACTCCACACTTTACACACCACACTCCATGCTCGACACTTTACACTCCACACTCCACACTCTAAACTTTACACTCTACACTTTACACTCCACACTCCACAGCACACTCCACACTCCACACTCTACATTCCACACTCCACACTCGACATTTTACACTCCACGCTCCACACTCTACACTTTACACTCTAGACTCCACACTCTACACTTTCCACTCCACACTCCACACTCTACACTTTACACTCAACACTCCACACTTTACACTGTACACTCCTCACTCCACCCATTACACTTTGCGCTTTACACTCCTCACTCCACACTTTACACTCCACACTCCACAAAAGCTTGCACAAAGTACTTCCCAGTGCTACTTTGTACTACAAAGCTTGCACAAAGTCGAGGAAAAGCTGGCAGAGACTCGAGACGAGACACGTGGGCGGCGCATCAAAACGAGCATTTCGTGCGAGACTTCCTCTGATTTTGATACTTTCGACACGGTATCAGACAGGTTGGAATGTCACAAAGTGCCACGCCTGCCACGCAAAACGACATGACAACCTGCGTGGAAACCTTCGAAAAGGAGAGGTTTTGCAGCTTCCCCCATAGACACGGAATTAACGACCCGACGACGACCCCCCGCCGACCCGACGACGATGCGACGAGCAACTGGAGGCGAACAAGGGTCCAGCCCCCAGACCCCCAGACTATAAACGGGAACCCTTCGCTACGAATTCGGGAATCAGCTGCATGGTCCATTAATGTCCGTTAAACCAAGGCGATGCTGGAGTCTTTCCTCTGTCGCCACACTTCCCATCTTAAATCTCAAAGATTGAATTGCATGCGGAGATGGCACCAGCAGAGTCATGCCACGGCCACAGTTTGGTATTCTTGCCAAAGACACTGCATGACGGCCATTCGCAAAGGTGGAAAGGACTTTGGCTCAATAATCTTCAAAGCTTCGCTGTACGCCACCAGCTGCTCCTGCCATCAACAGAACAAGTGTGAAAAAGTTGCTTGAAAACCCGAGCATGGGAACACTGAACTGAACTTGCATCATGAGTCAGGCATCGAACGCAGAGCTTAGGCACTACAGAGCTTCTGGCGTGTGAACTTCCCCTTGTATATTGATGGTTAGATTAAGTATGATTAAGGAATAGTGACCGTATACTCAACATACTAATACGCATGTTTAGTCTTTGTAATCATGGCTTCGGGATGGGTGCATGGCTACGGTGGATGGGTGAATGTTTCCGATGGCCCGTCCTGTTGGCTGGCCTCCTTCATCTCTCCAAGGGCAAGGCTCGTTCTCCGCTTCCTCAGGACAGCGAAATTGTGTGGATGCTGCCTGGCTTCTAACGTTTGCATCTTGTGTAGCTGTATGTCTTTCATGATGTCCCCAATTCTTTTCTCGAGAATCTCATATCTTCATCAATATTGAAACTTCTAGACAGCACTTACAGTGGGTCCGTGTAAGGCACTTCTTTCCATGGGTCACTCTCATTTCCATCCTGCAAAGAAAGTCGCAGTCATACAAGGTCATGTACAAAAGGCCAAAAGCACACAGCGAATCTTTTGAGTCAACCAGGGACAGGTGTACCATGCAGCATCGTCCAGGTAAAATGATCTTTGACTTTTCTATTGAACTCTGTGGCTGTGTCGAATGAGTCGAATGGATGTCATATCTATTCTATTCCATGCAGTGGCCGAGGGTGTCCAGTTGACTCGACTCCTCCCAGATTTTCTAGCTTGGACGTCCTTCCTTTGTAGTCACATGCAAGCAGTACTTTATGGTGGTGCATTTTCCATGGTATCCCAGTGGAAATGCATACAGGCTGAGCTGTTCAAAACGGCCCTTGAAGGCAAGGTGCGTTGGATGTGATACCGCTGCAGCTTTTTCCCTAGTTCGGCAGCGACAAACAAGAGGCAAGTTGGGCATCTGCAGAGACAATCTGCAAGTGAAGCAGAACATGAAGGACAAAAATGCCATCTCTGCAAGAAATTTACATAGAAGTATCCCTATTGCGCCTTCATTTTAAAACGGTCGGATTTTTTTACTCAAACATGAACATGCCCGGCCCTAGCCGTAGACATCTTGAGGCTTCCACTTTCTGGTTCTCTCTTTTTGCTCTTGAACAGTTGCCACCATAAGAAGCTCAACCAAATATGAACTCCGCTCTTCCTTGGTGGCAGCCCGATTGCTGCGGTGAAATTGAAGTTCTGCAATTCAAAACACGCAGGTTCATTCATCCGGTTGCTTTGAAATGGCCGGCCAACATGGCCAACTTCTGCTTTGTGCTTGCTATCATGGTTGAGGATGCTACACGGCAAGTGGCATGGCATGGTCAGGGTGAGGACGTTGGTATGCTACAAATAGATTCTAAGTAATAGATGGGCTGATCTGGTTCGTGGATTGAACAGTCAAATGTCATTTGCCTGTACTAAGGACTTGCTTGACAGAAGTACATATACAACATCCAAGGACGTGACACGACTAAAGGTCTCGTCTACCGTGTCGACCCAGAATGTCTTCGTTCAGTTACTGCAAATATCCATGGAATGATGAGAAGCAGTGACAGTTTCAGGCTTCCCCCCTTCTAAGGATGTTCCAAAACCATCTGTTTACCAGATTAAACCATAAACATCATCTCAAACTATGCCTCTGTAGCAGTTTCTCACGTTTCACTAACGCATCACCACCTGGTGCTTCCAAGGCTCATCATCTGGCTGCAGCTCTCGAGGGCTGCTACTTTGTAGCGGGAGCTCCTGCACAGAAAAACAGATCTTCTGGAGCCCCAATCACCGCGAATCCTTCGTGGCAGATCGCCGATTTACATAAAGTGACAATCCCATTTCGGCCAAACTATCAAGAACTCGCATCAACGTGATACAGTGATACCTCACAACTTCCATCTTGGTATTGGCATGAGAGATCCTTGATGATCCTTGCTACCGTTTATCAATGCTCCCATTCTGGGCGCGGAAGCTATTGTTTTGCGCCAGAGCCTAAAATCAGTGTCGTTATGTGTGGTTTTTGCAGATGCTGAAGGGAAAGCACGGCCCTCTACACGTTGTTTTTAAAAACCATTGAACCTCGCTTGAGCTTTCTGAATCAACATGTTTTTGCTTTATCTAATTGAACCATAAACTATCTGGATTGATTGGTTTCCCCATTAAAGATTACTAATTTTGGAGGATGTGCGGACTTCCATGTCAAGAACCCCCCATATGAACAAGCTATCTGCCTCTTCACGCAAAGCAGCAGCCCAGTTCAAGCAACTGTGACCACGCTCGTCGCAGGGGTGGACACGTGCACTGTGGCTAATCAACCTCGGCGTCTACAAACCTAGGGAAGCCTATGGTAGCAACCCAGACATATATGAAAAGCATTGGAAAGCAATGGGCAGGTTGGAAGAATAATACAATACGTGCCTGTGCTCTCTCAAATTCGAAGCCGCAATAAGAGGGTGTGATAGGATCAACATCTGATAGCCGGATAGTCTGAAAGATTCTGAAAGTGAGCTGGTTCAGATAGCAAAACAAAGAATCTTTCAGCTTGAAAATCTGCAGGCCGCGTTGATCAGCCTCCGGATCTGGTGGTAGCTGGTCGCCACTGATCCCATCAGATGTCAGATCCTTCGGATGTCAAGAAACAGCTTCACCACCTCAATGTTCTTCTGACGACATGCGCACCTTAGCGACGCATGACGCTGTCTGGTTGTTTTCATTGTTTCAAGACAATGCGACGTGTCTGTATGCTATGGTCACAAAAGGTAGCAGAGAATCCCTCTCAAAACCATTCCAGTCGAAGCTTCAACTACTTGGTGCTAGTGAGGATTCACATGCAGACACAATCCTTCCCTTGCCACTGAATCACAGACTTTCTGCGTACTGCATACTGCTGCATACTGGTCACATGAGAGGCGTTGAACCTTTGGAGTTGCGAGGGTTGATATTGGCCTTCGCCGAAATCAGAATCTCAATGATTCGCACGCACCGGCTCCGGGCTTCTTCATCAGGGTGTCGGGGCAGGTCACAGACCTTGAGGCAATGGACACAGAATTCATCGTATTTAATCATCAAGACTATGAAGCCTACTGCATTCCAAATAATTAGGAGTATTGTATAGTATTATATAGTATTATATAGTATTATATAGTATTATATAGTATTATATAGTATTATATAGTATTATATAGTATTATCTAGCTAAGTAGCGTTGTGAGTATCTGTCCGCACTAGAGATGGGCCGTGCTGCCACGGTGTGTACTCCAGCAGAAAATGGTTTGGTTTCCGGTCGCGTGATTCTACACTGGCAGTCAACTATTGCTTGCAAGCTGCTGTATGGAGCAAGGTGGAGAAGTGTACGGTACCTTTGCCTTCCTGCAACAATTCAAACTGGCAAGCCTCAACGCAACCAGCTACCTGAAAGGCCAGCCTTTAGCTTCTTATATGAGTTCCGGGATCTTTGAAAAGGAACGGCTTGAGTCAACTTGAAACATTGAACTGGCCCCAAACTCTGCTGGCAAAAAAAAAAACATGCTAAAAATGTTTTTCTGCAGTTCGTTTGAAATTCAACATGGACAAGTCAGGGGGAAACATGGGCTCTGGCCTCCCGTAGAGCCATGTTCACAGACACACCTGTGTCTGAAAGTTCTTGTACACGCTCAAGATCCATGTTCAGGACACTCTGGACCAGCGAAGCAAATTCTCCACCTCAAGTTCAGCAAGCCTCTGTGGAACGTTGTGCAATCAAAATCCGCCCTAGAGACAGAGGCCAATGCTGACCTGCTGTATCCTCTTCCATAAAGCCTACAGTCGCTTGCACATGTGTATATATATATACACACTTGCTCAGAAATTTGCGCACGTGATGTTGCAAGTTTTGGGTTCCTGTGCAGATTCATGATATGAAAACGAATCAGGTATAGCCACTTTTGCACTAGTTCTTCCCCACATCTGCATGAGGCCAGCACCAACAGATTGCAAGTAGATCAGTTACGAGTACCAAACTGCAATAGGAACGTTGGATTCGTTGGACTATGCACCTGCTATTGTTCTCTTGCAGGCCATGTCCGGGGTCAAGTTCCCATAGTTCCCTAAGCAAAAACTCGTTCCAAGTTGCTGGTATCCTTTTTGAGATCCTGGCATTCGGCTGCAAATGGCATCGTGTGCTGTCATACATACCAGGTAGGATCGCAAACAGTGTAGTGAATCAATGGCATTCAATGGCATTCGTTGTACAGATTGTACGATTGTACAGGATTTGGACAGCAAATGGAACCCAGTTGGGGCCTTGTCAGGTGAATCATTGAAATTATTGACCCTCTCATCCAATATTGGACAAACCCAAGTTGGAAGTGTAAAATGAAGGAAGGCAGCCCTTCCACACTAGAAATTGAACCACACTTGAAACATAGAACTCATTTAGATTCAAAATAATTTAGAACTTTTCAGATATTTCAGAAATAACAAGAAAATATAAGAACCTTTAATTTTATCTAAGTTTAACAATTCAAAGCGAAGTGTACCAACGAGTCGTCGCATTCTTGACTCGCAGGTGGCCTGGTCAGTGAAAATTCTGCAGGGACTGCTGACCACCTCTGCCTTTCTGGCCTCACAAATCTGCACAAATCGTGGCAGAATATAGTGGAACCCTTGCATGTTGTGACAAGATTTGACGAGTTGCAGGTTGCCTTGGGATGATCCTTTGATCCTCTGACAACTTTAATGTTGCTTCTGATCTGCACAATCTCGTGTGCTAACCTGTGCTACATGTCTTGCTGTGTTTTGGAGCTTGATACAGTACAGCTTGATCTCTTAGATCTTCTAGGTCAGCTGTGCTCTGAGACTCTGAGACTCCTGACATGCAGCTCCTCTGCCAAGGCATAGAGATTGCTGGTCAAGCTCTGCACACTTTGAGACCGCACCAATTGAGGCAGTTCGGACGAGTCTTCGCCCTCTTTCCTTGCGCAGGAGAGACATGCAGAGACCACAAACACATCCTTTTCACCGTCACTCGATGGAAGAGTCTCATTCTGATATATCTGACATTATCTGATGATAGCTGATGATAGCTGATGATAGCTGATGATAGCTGATGATAGTTGGAAGGTTGCTTCAACGTTGAACACTGATAGCTTCATCGGATCGCCTATCGGTCAAGGTCTCCAACTTGGCCATGGTCAGCGGGAGCTTGGTCGCACCATCGCTGGAGTCTGAGGAGTCTTTGCCGTCGGCCAGAGTCACAGTGACCTTGTACTCTTCCACCTGCTTTTCCTGCACCAAGGGAAACTGATCCCTGGGAAGATATGGAAAATGCAAACAAGCTGTATCAAGCTGTTCAGGATTGTTTGGCGCAGGTTGCACATTGAGTTTGCTAACACACTACTGCTATACGCACCTCATCGGAGCCTTCCTCACGATCGGAACCAAAACCTGCGTCACGTCCCAACTGCACGGTGCACCCAGCGCTTCTCACCATGGATGATTTTCGCAGCTTGGAGCTGCGGTCCAAGAATCACCAACTTTGAGACCTTATTTCATGCAAAACTGGAAATATATATATATACGTACAATAATATCTTGTGTATTACTGTATTATATTTATATCATTATATCATAAAATATTGTTATTATGATATATTATGATTCATGATGTTAAATGTAATTACGTGATATTGAAGAGTAATCACGGGCCACAGCAATCAGTAGCATTGAGATGCCACCAGCAAGCATTAGCTTCACGTCTCCGTTTTCGGCGCACCTTGGACTTCCAAGTCGTCCAATTCGTCCACCGCCGAGGTGTGAAAGCGTTTGGAGTTTCGTCGTGCCTCTCCCTCAGCCTGGCCGTGAAAACATGGGTTCTTTTGGCGTCAAGCATGTCATTGCTTTGTGGACCCCTAGGGCTGGGAAATGCATCAAACTTCCAGGCTTCGGTAGGTTTGTCAAGAAAGAAGGTACCCCCAGTTCGTTGATAAAGCTCTTCGTGTTCCAATCCCACATTTTGTCCAAGAATCTGGGTCTACAATCCAGCTTTGCCCGGTTTGTTGATGGTTGAACCTGGGCGAGAATCTGACCCGCAACCTTGAACGATTGGTAGATTTGGGAGATTTGCGGGGTCTTTGCACTTTGTGCGCTGTGCACATGGTTGAAGTCTGCAAGCAGCATCCACAACCGCTGCTTAGCTGGTTCATGGACAAGCCCGTGAGACAGGAATTGCAGGGCTTCAAATCCCTCAAAAACAGTTTTGAGATTGACATCGATTTAAGCATAGTCAAGTGTAGATTACAATGTATTGTAAGCAACAGCTTATTGCAGATGCAAAGAGACGGCTTCATTGAATTACAACATGGCTTGGCATTCTGTCACACAGTAGGCCAGGAGACGCACGAACCTCGCTGGTACTGGGTCTAAAATTGTCCGGTGAGTCAGAAAGGCTACGGACACACCTAGGCGTCACAGCGACTCGAAACCGGCAAGCTGTTCCCAAAAAAACTGCTTGGCAAAGCGCTCCTGTCAAGTGGGAACAAACCGAGCTACATCTTGCCTACTCTGGTTTTTGTCACGTATCAAGGACTTGGCCCTTGGACAAAGGATCAGCGTCCTCCCGCTGCATTTGAGATCTTTAGTACTTAGATGTATTGACTTTTTAGAGCTTCCGCCTGACACTGTCCATTCTGTCAATAACTGCCCCTTAACCTAGCAAACATATGCAAACCTCCAAGACTTGTGACTGCAAGGCCTTCAATTCAAGGCACAAGAGAGGCGCAGCATCGGTTAAATCCGCTGGATGCAGAGATGCAGGAGTCTCTGGCAACTTTGTCTGAAGAACTTCCTGAGCTCAGCAATGGGTGACAGTCGCTCCTGCGTCAATTTTGGAACCTCCCGCTCCCACAAGCCCTTCTTTAAAGCTCTTTATTAATTAATAGCCAATAGGATTATCAAGTAAGTTGATAATCAATCAATATCTTTTTGATGACATGCGTTCCTTGTTCACAGACCTGAAACGGGAAGTCGCCTCTTGCCCACCTCACTTGTCGGAACTTCCACTCAAAGACTTCCAAGGGACTGCATTCGAGAAATCGTCGTCAGCAGCAGCCCGAAGGTCCCCTAGCACCTGGTTGCTACGCATCAAGATTCAAGATCAATTAGCAAACAATTTAGAAAACAATTTATAAAATTTTAATTCTATCAATTTAATTCAATTTATATCAATTTATATCAATCAGATCTGATCCCAATCTCCTGGGATGGGTCATCCGGTCCCAGTTGACTCAGCGGCCTCCTTTGAGTCGACTTCGGTCCTCAGATGCACCAAGGACACCATGGAGTCACTGCACCAAGACCTTTGTTGCCCTGGAAATTTAAGGCTGATATATGTACATTATGTATATGTATATGTATATTATCATTATTATTAATCATTATTATTATCATTTATTATCATTATATATATATAAGATATTTATATATGTATATGTGATATAAGGGTAAATTATAACGACCTGACTGCGATTGTAAATTCGCTGACTATAATCATTTCACTATAATCATGGTTAATAAGAGGAATCATCCCAAAATGGCCGAACTATTCAGGTTAGTGAGTGATATATAAGAGATATATTCTGAATAAGTAGAAACCTGGGCAACAGTTCGTCCTCTCTTCCAGTCATTTCAACTATGAAGTATACAACTCTGGGCTTTCAGGACTGTTTGCTTTGCTTTCTTTTCGATCTGAACGTCTGTTGGCCTTTGTGAAAGCCAGCATTAAGAAACCCCCCAAGTTGGGGGACCTGGCTATTCCTAACATGTTGCTGAGACTACCAACCAACAAATCTGTCTTTAGGATGCGTGACGTCTTGGATTCTTGTTCGATGGGACACAAACAATGGTTACACGCAACGACTCCACGAGTTTCAACGACTTCAATGATTACAAGCCATCATGATCATCTTGCAGCTATGCTGCTTGCCCAAAGGGTTCATTGTCTAGGACAGGGCTAGCCGAGTTGGAAGGACTTCAAACAGGTGATTGGAAACATTGCAAATTAAACCTCAAATCCATTCAAATCTCCTCTCTCCCGTCGCCAGCGGACCTTTATGGATTTTCTCTCTGTTCGAAATGTACAGCGACAAGTTCCAGTTCCCGCAGAGTGTTTGAGTGGGGCGACAGTCGCCATCCTCTTCTCACTGGAGCTGAGCATCAACCGCTTCTGCTATTGCAAATCAATTGCAAATGATGTATGTTTTTTAGAGCGGACCACGCACCTGAATGGCTAATGCCAGAGATGTTCTCCTGGCCGTGCGGCACGCAGATTCGTAGGTGCACCCTCTTGAACAGGCATTTTGCGCTGCTCCTCGCGCATGCGTTGTACTTCGTCACGAAGAAGGTCAACATTCATGCGCTCGTGGGTCAGAGTTTCAGATTGTCGTTCCAGCAAGGCCTTCTGTGCAGCGAGGCTGTCCCCCAACTGCTTTCCACTTTCACCAAGGGCTCGCAGCTCTGCCTGAAGTCCAGCTCTCTCCGCCTTGAAATCTTCGCACGCCTGAGACAAACGTCCCTGGGTATGTCTCAGCCGCTTGCGGCTGTCCTGCAACTCTCGGTTGCGGAAGTCCAAGCTTTGCTTCAAAAGCCGCAGCTCTGAGAGTGCATCGACCTTGGGGCGAAATGTTCCAACGTCAAGGCCAGTAAACTCCGCCATGGCTCGGTGAGCATGGTGAGCGGCACTTTGTCTTTATGATTCTTTATGATTCTTTATGATATTTATATGATATTTATGTACATTCAGAAGATTTCACAATTGCTTACATTGCATATAAAAGGACGGTCAAGTTTTTGGACAACATGTGTGTGTGTGTTTGTGTGAATGCGACTCCTTGATGGATTGAGCCAACGTCTTGTGTCCAATTTTGCTGTTGTTTTGATGGAGCAAGACATCATGAAGCATCTTGGATGATGGCGATACCTTGTCTAACCAAACTAGTCTTCCAAGTTGCTAGTTGAAGTAACTTGAGGAAAACGTGGAATCCAGAAGTCAGTGGACCGTGTATCCTGCATTGTTTCTTCATAGTCCCCCTGAACAGCCAAGCATTGGCCAAGCATCATTGCACTCCTCGCATTTCAGGAAGCTCGCGGCATCACTCATGGCCAAAGCGACGGAGAAACGCAAGCGTCTTCTGCGAAGACTGGACATTATCTTTGAAGTGGATTTGTTCATCTCAAATATGCAGACAATTCTACAAATTAGGAAGGCCAATTTGTCAGCTGAACCTTTGCTATATATTTCTGTTACCAACCAAGAGTAAGCTTAGTTGGTTGGCATCTTGTGAGACAAATGGTTTCACTGGACCCATGTGCCCTTCTACCATGTTTGAGTTCAGCGGCTCCAAAACAGATTCATTTCACTTTGGACAAAACTCAGTAGAAATCGAACACTACTGTCGTAGGTACGACAATGTCTTCTGCTCCAGTCCCGTGAAAGTCTAAATCGATCCAACGGGATAAAGTTGGATTTCAGACCACCATTCAATGGCACGGCAATGATGCCAAGACATTCACGGCAAGTCACCTAAACTATTCCTCCTGTCAATTCAAGTTGTCTCACATTGCCCGGTGGATTCACGTCTAAGACTTTCTGAGCGTAGAACCCTCCCGGCATTCCCAGGCACCTTGATGCTCTAAGAATGCCTGCGATCGGATCAGGTCTCACACGCTGTTCATTGTTCAAGACTCAAATGACCCGAGTCAAAGGCTGTGCATAGGGACTCTGCTTTCCACTCAGTCAACAAGGTGCTCCAAAAAACATCAATGATCCACAATGAATACGACAAGGCGGTTGACCTGCTTGATACATCAATGAATAAAAGCAATTGTTAAAAAAATAAACTGATTGATCCATGATTGATCCATACGGTACGGTGATAGACTTCAGCGATGCAAAATGTTGTGATCCCAATGACAAACACCTTAGTGCCCACCAACCCAGCCCGCCTCAGTCAGGTCAAGGCCTTAGCTGCAATATCTGTGACCCACCAGGTCCTGAAATAGGAACCATATAGGAGAACTTTTAGGAACCATTTGTCCCATAGTTGTTCCATAGTACGATTGTGCAGGTTAAGCCATGAACCATCAGCTGAATGCAGACGTTCACATACACCCGGGCCGCGAAGACAAAGCTCGGAAAACTCGGCGCGGAAGCTGGTCAAAACTTTGGCAGAAACACACCTGCACAATGCATGGTAAACATATCGTGAAATATCATGAATGTGTAGACATGAGAAAGCACAGGATTGAGGATTCAAGATGATTCAATTATGTCAACCTTGGAAACGGTTGAGGTGGTCAAAGAAGCGCAATGCTATGGAGAAACAATCCTATTCACAAGAGCGCGGGAACTTCTGGTTGTCATTTTGCATCAGTGCTGAAAAGGGAAAAAAAAACTGTTTGAAGGGCTTTGAAAGTTCAAATGAGAACTGCAAACAGTGCAGCGCAAGTGTTCCAAAACCAGGCAAATGACAGATTTCTCCTGCGATTTGCTCGTGTTTAAGGTCGCAACATCTTCATCCTCTGCAGTTCTTCCTTGTAGCACTGGAGCCAAGTTGGAAAATGCGTGGTTGAACCAGTGAAAATCGCATTGGTGCAAGGAAGTGCTCTTGGAAAGGGTGACCCGTTCAAGACTATGCCTTTGATTGGGTTATTGTTAGTCTGGACAAATCTGAACAATCCTGCAACAAACCGAGGTAGGTAGGAAACAAACATACGCGTGGCTCTCAATATCCTGACCATACCAGTACCATGTTTGTCTCCATATTTTGGACATTCAAATGATAGTAAGTGCTGTGTGCCCCACCCAGCGGATGCAGGTACACCTCCAAGTCCTTGACCTTGGTGCTAGTGTGCAAACTGCTCATCACAAAACCGCTGTTGGCAGCAGAACAACATACCAAACATACCAAAAACGCAATGATAAGCTATGGTGTGCTCGGGAGGGAAGTATTCTGAACGAACATGTACGAGTGCCACTGACAGATTGTTTTGTTGCTAAGCTCGTACCATTCGCAATCTTGACTGCATTTGCATGTTGAAATCCCAAGGTCAGCCCTCGTCAAACTGTCAAACCCCCAACCGACAATCAACAAATACTGGAACCACAACACAGTCCGAGGTATGATGCATGAGGTAAAACACGACACGACTAGAGGACCGCAAGAGTGTGCAAACTAAAGCAACTCTTGAACAGCAATCAAACAAAGGATACAAACGTGCCGCTGAATTGTATGGATGTGCACGTGACTTGTTTCAATCGGGTCAGAAAACAGTCCGAGATTTGCAACGGCAAAAACTACAACAGCACATCGTCTTTCGAAGGAACTCTCTTTCAGAACATTGCCAAAAAAACGACGCAAAGGCATCCCTCCTGAGTGGCTGACTGGCGTGAACCGACTGCGCCCCTCGGCATCTCGCCTCTGCTGCCAATGACATTGATGACTCTGCAGTTCTCAAGTCCCTCTCTTACTCTGCGTTGACATGCCTTGACATGGAGTACCTGGAAAGCCTAGCAACTCAATGCCGCTTGGATTTAGAATTTAGAGGGTGTAGCGGAACAAAGCAAAGTCTGCAGTACAGTAGCTGAACTGTCAGCCTGTCTCGACCTGGTCAGTTGCCGTTGCGTAACCAGGATGCGGACTCAGAAGCGACAAAGGATAGCCAGTACCTGATATTCAAACAAAACGGCTGACAGTTGAAGAGATCCACAACTTCAGCCAAGAAGGTGGGTTGTACACACACAATTTCGAACCACATTTGCGCATCTTTAACTGGACAAAGCCATATGCACAATTACACACACACTTGCTCAGAAACATCTTATCGAATTACTGATGTGGAATGCATCGTACGTGCAAAAACACTTCAGTTAAACCTGACAGGAAATAGTGAATGACCAGGCGTGAGAAACAGTGGGGAGGAATTCTTTCTACGTCCTTGCTAGATGTAACTGTTCCACCAAAAAGATGTGACCACCAGTTTTGCAACAGCATCCAGGTGCGTCACTACGGTTCCTTTTTTCTAGCGAGACGGAAAGAATCACCAAATGATGTGACCACCAGCTATGCAACAGCATCCAGGTGCGTCAATACGGTTCTTTTTCCTTGGCGAGACGGACAGAATCACCAAATGATGTGACCACCAGCTATGCAACAGCATCCAGGTGCGTCACTACGGTTCCATTTCATGGCGAGACGGACAGAATCACCAAATGATGTGACCACCAGCTATGCAACAGCATCCAGGTGCATCACTACGGTTCCATTTCGTGGCGAGACGGGTAGAATCACCACGTGCAGGTACAAGATACTGCGTCCAGTATCTCATCCACCAATTGTCCATAGCTTCATTGGCACGGCTAGGACAAGTGGCGCCGTGCCCCCTGCTCTAAATGCATCACTACGGTTCCTATTTCGTGGCGAGACGGACAGAATCACCAAATGATGTGACCACCAGCTATGCAACAGCATCCAGGCGCGTCACTATGGTTCCTTTTTCTTGGCGAGACGGACCGAATCACCAAATGATGTGACCACCAGCTATGCAACAGCATCCAGGTGCGTCACTACGATTCCATTCTGTGGCGAGACCCCCTGCTTTAAAAAGGATATTTAGAAGTTTTACATCTTTTCAGATGGTCCACACACACGCCTTGCTGCCGCGAGGCTGTTTTGGCAACTGAGGTCCCGACAATGAGATGAAAATGAAGAAGAAGGGAAATGAAAATGAAATGAAGATGACAATGAGATGAAAGTTACTTAACCAGGACGCAAAGAGGGGAACGCAAAAGAAGAGGGAAAGAGCAAACACCAACACATGAAACCTAGCCCAGAACGGGCAACCCTGGAAAGGCAAGGGAAAAGAAAAGCGGAGGCCGACGGAAAACGGAACAAGACCAGCGGAGGAGGGGAAGGACAGAAGCGCCTGAACCAACCTGACACGGCGAAAACCTACAACAACCTCAGCACGCAACGGGCCAAACCTACCTGGAGAGAGGAGAACGCAAGAACACATGAAAAAGGAAGAAAAAGGGACCCATGGGGAACTAGTTAATGACATGATGCATCCACATTAGCGTGCAGGAATCCCCTCATTAGGCTCTACGGCCTGCATTCACGTCAACCCTATCGACGGCTGTCAGTGTTCAGATGAATTACGTGCACAGTTGAACCTCACCGAGAAACCAAAAAGGAAGTGACCACACCTGTAAAGCATGTCCTGAAGCCTCCACATGGTTCCATGTCATGTTGCAGACTGTTGAGCACCGTACTCTCTTGGGCAAAGTTGGAAAAAGAAGGTTTTCACAGCTGTCAGCAGGCTACCAGGGGCAGGATGTCAGTCGCTCCAAATGGTGAGTGCTCAAACGGCAGCCCATTGTTCAACACAACGACCGTCAGAGTGAAACCTGAAAGGTGAACGGCTGTTTCACAATACTTAAACGAATTACTAATTCAAAAGTGTAAATTCCGACATCGTTTTACCGTCAATTTTTAGCCTAGAAAGGCTTTCCCCGAAGGGCTCATACCACCTTGTCGGACAACGGTATGAGTGACACACTTGCTCAGAAACATCTTATCGAATTACTGATGTGGAATGCATCGTACGTGCAAAAACACTTCAGTTAAACCTGACAGGAAATAGTGAATGACCAGGCGTGAGAAACAGTGGGGAGGAATTCTTTCTACGTCCTTGCTAGATGTAACTGTTCCACCAAAAAGATGTGACCACCAGTTTTGCAACAGCATCCAGGTGCGTCACTACGGTTCCTTTTTTCTAGCGAGACGGAAAGAATCACCAAATGATGTGACCACCAGCTATGCAACAGCATCCAGGTGCGTCAATACGGTTCTTTTTCCTTGGCGAGACGGACAGAATCACCAAATGATGTGACCACCAGCTATGCAACAGCATCCAGGTGCGTCACTACGGTTCCATTTCATGGCGAGACGGACAAAATCACCAAATGATGTGACCACCCGCTATGCAACAGCATCCAGGTGCATCACTACGGTTCCATTTCGTGGCGAGACGGGTAGAATCACCACGTGCAGGTACAAGATACTGCGTCCAGTATCTCATCCACCAATTGTCCATAGCTTCATTGGCACGGCTAGGACAAGTGGCGCCGTGCCCCCTGCTCTAAATGCATCACTACGGTTCCTATTTCGTGGCGAGACGGACAGAATCACCAAATGATGTGACCACCAGCTATGCAACAGCATCCAGGTGCGTCACTATGGTTCCTTTTTCTTGGCGAGACGGACCGAATCACCAAATGATGTGACCACCAGCTATGCAACAGCATCCAGGTGCGTCACTACGATTCCATTCTGTGGCGAGACCCCCTGCTTTAAAAAGGATGTTTAGAAGTTTTACATCTTTTCAGGTGGTCCACACACACACATATCATGGTTATAGTGAGAACCTGCCGTCTGTTCTACACGACCCATAAATACCTATAATATGTCTCGTGGAAACCATTGATTTGCTGGGAAAAGGTCGATGTTTTTCTGGAATCTCTGGAATCTCATCACGTTGCTTTGAACGCCTCAACTGCTGAAGCCAGTAGCAGCCATGCCTCGCACGCTTTGGTGCTGACTCCGACTGGCTGCCATGGATCTCCAGTGCCTCCACATATCGGTAACAGCCACGCAATGGACGGAGGTGATCCAAAGACGCCTTGGAACTGCTCCCAGCAACTGCTTCTCCGGCCAAACTGCCCTGGTTCCAGGAAAATGCCTAATGGATGTGTTGGTTCCCATGGCAACAAAATGACCTCCGAGAACGCTCGTTGCATCGCATCATCCCCTGACTGTGCAAAACGAAGCTCTGCACCTTGCTCGCTGGCAACTACCTGCCATTGCGAAAGTTTCATTCGCAGCACACTGGAGCGCCAGCCTGTGACCACCTCCCAGCATGCGCAGCGTAGAAAGTGCCAAACCTTTCTCCACCACCACAGGATGTAGATGGTCCAAGCTGCTACACAAAGCCACGGGAAGGAAGCGAAAGTCGGTTCAGTCCATAGCAGCAACGTAATTGCAACGAGGTATGCGCACATCAAGTTCCCATAGATCAAGGCGACGATAAAACATCTCATGTTTCGAAAACCCACACATTGCCCAAAGAAATTGCAATGGTGGTCCATCCAATAGCAGCAGCGATTGCATTGATGACAATGACTCGCAAGGGCTGGCTTCTCCGCTTCACAAACACGGCACCAAGCATCTTCAGCAGTCAGCGGCCGCTGCAGGCTATGACCTGCTGCCAGCAATGAATGTAAGGGGGTGGGCAGGGAGCTGTGCTCAGCCTTGGGTCTGCCAGGGCCATAGCAAACCACAGCAGCCCAGTTGGCCAAAAAAAGTGCTAAGAGGGTCAGCCAAATCGACCTAATCCAAGTCCCGAGGATCCCGAGGACTGAAGCGTCTTCACTGACCTGCATGGCCTTTGGAACAGTCCAACAGTGACTGATCAACAGGACGCCAAACACATTCATCACGCCAAAGATGTCAGCTTGTCGACGAACCAGTAGTCGTGCTACCTGACCACATTCGCGACCCAGTACTCCCTTCTCTCGTGATTTGCTCACGCTCTCAGTAGCTTCATCACGGCTTTCGCCATGGCGGCGGTGTGCTGCCTCCATCTTGCCAGGAATTGCGAGGAAACTCGTCTATTTTATGTTCTCCTCATTGTCTCATATGTTAACTTGTCCTACCATATCTCACTACAAGTGGCAACTGGTCGAACAAATCAAGCCATGTTAGGTTCAATGCCAACGTCACCGTCAACTTTCTAGCCTGCTACTATAATGGCCAAGTTTTACCAACACCAATGCCAATGATCCATGAATGCATCTGCTCGACTGTTTGTGGGTTGGGCAAAGGTATGGTGTGCTTCTCAACAGACAACGGCGAAAATCCTAAGATGGGTCAAGGAGGACTGCCGCACAGGAAAATGTGCCCCTCACAAGTCTTGTTTTTCTCTCCATCTCTTGTCTGCATACAAGCTCCGGTGCAGTGACTCACTCAAGGAATCGATCTTGTGGAAAATCGACGGAAATGGAAACACATGTTGGACCCCTCTTGAAAGGACACTTGTGCCTGATCCTTCTCTTGACGGGAATGGTTCTACTTGAATTTGCAGGCTCTGTGCCAATGTCCAACATCATCAGCCGCTTCAAAAATGTTCTTCCCAGCCCCCTCTCCCTGGTTTCCCTCTGAGGCACTCGGTGGAGATCAAAATATCCAGAAAGCGCCAGGGCCATCTGGAAGCTCCCCAGGTGTATGCTATAGCCTTGGGACTCCGTGGGACTCCGTGGGACTCCGTGGGACTCCGTGGGACTCCGTGGGACTCCGTGGGACTCCGTGGGACTCCGTGGGACTCCGTGGGACCATTGTATGACAGCGCCCTGGGTTCTACCACTTCTGGACAGGGTTCACCCCACGAGATCAGCCGGCCTCAGTGCAGAGGCTTTGCAGGTACATTTCATACACCAAGAATCCAAGAGTCTTAACAATCTTAACAAGTAGTGACAACGTGTAGCATGCAAGAAATCCATAATGCGTTTCATTCAACCAGTTTGTTTGCACGGCACTGTCTGGTCCATCGCCGAAATGCAACTTCCCCAGCTTCCCCAGGTGCTCTTGACGTTGAGCCAAGGGCGCACATGACAATAACCACCTTGGCTCCTGCCAGGACAGCTCTTCGCTCCAGGGATCCCATTCGGTCAAGTCGGTCCTCATGTCGATGAAATCGAGGGGATCCATGAGACCCAGCATGGAAGGCGGCAGTCCAAGGATATTGACCTTCACGGCGCTTGGCAAACCATGATTCAAAAGCCGGTGGAAGGTGGAAAGATGTGGAAAGACTACACTGAGACCCTGGCTCGTTGCTCTCGAACAGTATGAGCTAAGTCCTCCAAACTACCAGTGGACCACTCTCACGCTGATATTGCCACTCACACTGAACCTATAGCAGCCGCTCTAACACCAAACGCCGCCATAACAAAGAAAACCATTGCAGCTGTTTGGGGATTCTTCCAATACGTCCTTGACATCGATATCCTCCTTGGGTCAACGGAACATGTACAGTATTGGTTGGAAGGGGTTGAGAGAACTTCAATGCCACGATTTCATGCCTCCACCCTTTCTCCCTGA